TGGGTGGATGGATGGTTGGGTGGGTGGTGGATGGGTGGATGGATGGATGGATGGGTGGGTGAGAAGATGTGTGGGTTGGTGGGTGGGTGGAAGAATGGATGAATAAATAGGAAGATGGATGGGTGAGTGGAAGCATAGAAGGATGGATGGATGGACAGAAAGACTCACTGGACAGAAACCTCAATATTTTTTCTATTTATATTTAACTATTTAAAATTTGGCTTGGAATTTAAAATGATAAAATCCATGACTTTCTGCAGGCTAATGTATTTTGGGGGAGAATGCTAATGTCTGCAGTTTACTCTGAAATGCATCAGAAATAGGATTGTTTAATGGGTGGAAAGTGCAGTGAATATGTGGTAAAGTAAGCACAATAACAGTGTTATGGTAAGAGCTGTGCAGTAGACGTATCTGCGTTTATGGTAAAATTCTTTCAACTTTGCTGTACATCAGAAATTTCCATAATAAATTCATGTGGGGTGTTTTCAGTGGTAATTATTGGCAATTTCATGTGGTTGCACCCTAATATTTATCTCTGGCTTGGCCAGGTGATCCTTCCAGGTTCCCAGTCTGTAACACCAACAGACGTGACTGCAGTCTCTCCTGTGGACTATCCTCCCCAGATTTGGGGGCCAGGGGTCAACATTTCTCCCTCCCAGAGTTCAAATCGAACTGCCCTAATGTGCTCATTGCTGCACTGAATATACCAGTAGCTGGCTTGTAATAATTATAGATTTCCTCTGCGATTTGATCCCATTGGTTGCCCAGGCAACGGCGTAATAGCCCCGCTGAAGCGCTGTCACCGTGATTTAGAACCAACTCGTCTCTCCCTCAGACTCCAGTCTGAGTGCCCCCCCACTGTCGTCATGGCAACTGATGAGCAGCACGTGACCAAAAGCTCCCTGTCACCCCCTTCCCTGCGTCCTGTGATCACTTCTATTTCCTCTTCTGGGCCCCTCCAAGACAGGCATTAACCCCAAGCTTAGGCTGTAAGTGGGGGAATAATTGATCCCCAAGGTCACTTTCTATCCCTGAAAGGGGTTTAAGGGGACCTTAGAGCCAGAAGAGCCCCAGAGGTCTTGGAGATGACTCGGCGCCCTGCAGGGCCCCTTCATGGCTGGGGCTGCATCTGCTGAGCAGCTGCCACAAGTCCTGGGGAAGCTGGTTAGGGTTTCTGCTTGTTCCTCCAGGGGTTCCTCAATCTGTCAGAGAAAAATCTAGGTGGAGACCCCCTGGAAGGGGAGGGGGCTTTAGAAAACCCTATTTTAGGAGCTCTAGGATCATGTGGCTTGTTGTGGTTTAAGACCAACTGGGTTTAAATATCTTTTTTTTTTTTTAATGTTTTAAACTGTGTTGTTTTCCCTTTTATCTCCTTTTGAGGTCTGTGTTTCTCTTTGTTTCCATGTACGTCTTTCCATTTCCGTCTGGAAAGCCCTCTCTGAATCCATCCACAGTCTAGCGCTCTCTTCCCTCCTCCTCCACCGTCTCCCTCCATCCTTCTCCCTCACTCATTTGCTGGGCACCAGCTGAGCCGGCCTTTTCCCAAACCTGCTTTGCTTGTGCGGGGCCCTTTCCTTCCTCCTGCACCTGAGCCCTTGTTCTGGGGGCTGCCTGGGGGTCAGGACCACCCTCTGGAGGCGGGAGCTGGTGCCCTGCAGCACCTCTGAGAATGAGCCCAGCTGGCCTCTGCCCTGGGGCTCTGTAGGATGGCGTAGAGGACGCACGTTAAGCAGGAGAGTTGGGCCGGCCGCAGGACCCTGCCTACAGGCGCGTGAGTGCACACGCGTGTGTTTGTGTGTGTGTTCTCACCTTTGTGTCTGCTGGGATAGGGAGGTGTGTCTCAGTGTGATATTGGTGTGTGCAAGTGTGTGTGTGCGCGCGCATGCCCACCTACGTGGTGCAAGCACATTTGTGCCTGGATTTTTACCTAAATTGTGCCGGACAGATTTTTCAAGGATGCTTTGTAGGGAGGGCTCAGCCTGTAAATAAAACAAAGATGGATGTAAAAATGATAAATGAGGAATCTGCTTTTGCCAGAGGGCTGGTAGAAATGCCACCTATACCTTTCTGGCCCCTGGAAATAAAGCGAGGGTCACCTTGAAAAGGCATTTTTTTCGCAAGCTCCAAAATAAATCCTCCCCTTCTGTTCTGGGGGCTCGAACAGCGCACACGTTCTGTTCTCCTTGAAACGGCCAGGAGCGGGGGCCTGGGGGGAGCCCTGTCGGCGGGCATTCTCCAAGGAGTGTTCAGGGCAGTCGCAACTGAGGGCCTGGAAGGCTGATGCCAACAGCGGAGAGCAGGCAGCTCGTGGTCAATTAGAAGTTCATTTTGAATTTTTGTTTTTACAGAAACAGCTCATGCCCCAAGAGGCAGCCAGAAGAAAACACTTTTACAAAATGGAATTTCTTTTGTGGGGCGAGATGTGGGGATCCCGGCGGCTTGCCCGCTTTGACCAGGGGCCCGTGTGCGAGCTACAGCCAGGTCACCCCTGGAAGGGGATCCTCTGTGCCCGGCCCGTCGCTGGACACCAGGGGCACCCGGCAGCCAGTGCTTCGTGTGTATGCCGACTGGCACGGACACTGCCCCCGACACCCTGGGAGAGAGGGCAGAGCCCGCACAGACACCAGGCTCGGGAAGCAGCTCCGAGAGGAGCAGACCCAGGCCTGGGGGAGCAGCTGCACTCAGGCACTGCTAGTCTTACCTTCCCTCCCAGGAGCCATCTTACTTCTCCTGCCCAGGACTCTGTCTGCCACGGCACCCGTGTCCACGGCCAGAGGTCTTGGGGTGGGGTCTGGGGATTAAACCCAGGGCCTACACACTGAGCTGCACCTTTTTTTTTTCCTCTCTCTTTTTTTTTAAGACGGCATCTAACTAAGCCTCTAAATTGCCCAAGCTGGATTCAAACTCGTAATCCTCCTGCCTCAGCCTCCCAAAGTGCTGGGATTACAAGCATGCATTACCACACCTGGATGAGGTCTAACCACCTTTAAATTCTTGCCTTGTTGCTCCCAGGAAATCTTTAATTTCCATCCGCAGTCAGCTAATGCCATATATCCTCCTCCACCTGCCCCAAACACCATGAACCCCCAGCATTGTACACCGTACAAACCTCATTCCCCACATTTACCCGTGAGTTTCTACGTATTTTCAAGAACTTCAAGAGAAGTGTTGATTCAGACAAAATACATGTGAGGCCACTGACCTAGATTCTTAAAATGTTAACGTCTCTGAAGAGAAGTGGCTGAGAAATGGCTCAGGGTTAAGTGAAATTAGGAGACCCAGAGACCCAAGTGCAATGTGTGATGCTGGGACTGAGGCCTGCGTGAGGAGAGGCGCGACAGAAATTAGCCACAAAAGTCATTTGGGGAGCAAGTGAAGAAACTTGAATATAGGCGATATGCTAGATACGAGTGTCTTTGTTTGCATGGTCTGTGTTCGTTTCTGTTTTTGGGGGTTTGGTTTTTTTTTTTTTTTTTTTTTTTTTGGTTTTTTGACACAGAGTCTCACTATGTAGTTGAGACTGACCTGGAACTCACTATGTAGCCCAGGCTGGTCTCGAACTCACAGCAATCCTCCTGCCTCAGCCTCCCGAGGGCTGAAATTACAGATGTGCACCACCAAGGGGGCTCTAGTAGTGTTTTATCAATGATACATTTCATGAGAGTGAACCACTCTGTATCGCAGATGAGTTGTACTGAGGTGATGTGGGGAAATGTCTTTATTTATACCGGGTATTTATACAGGGTACAGGAGGGAAACCTCAGAGTGGCTGTGCCTGATACTCAAATAATTCAGTGGAGAGGTGGACAGACAGACAGACAGACAAAATGCAGTAGCTGTGTAAGTGGCCAAGTATTACCTGGTGGTTCTGGGATGACCAGAGGCAGCCGAACCATGCTTGCAGCTTTTCTGTAGGCTTGAAAGTTTTTCAATGCCCACTGCAGGTGCTGGGTGCTCTCTGTTCCTGTGCTCTCTCCCCTTTAACCTTCTACACAGGTGGGGCCAGGAGAGCCCGGTCACACCCATTTTCCAGCTGAGAAAACAGAGGCAGCGCCAGGCTCAAGTCCAAGGCAAAAACCAATTTTTACCCACACACCCGTTATTGAGAAAATTTCTAAAATGAACAGCCCTGTGCCACCGCAAGAAGCAGTCAGGTCTGCGTGTGAGTGACTGGGGCTCTTTGCTGCACTGTAGAAGTTAGGAGCACTAGGGATGTAAGGCAGGCTGGGTTTGCATCCTGGCTTAGCCACCTCACAGCTGTGTGGCGTTGGAGGTCACAACGCCTCTCTCTAGGCTTTCTTTTTCTTTTTCTTTCTGTCTTTCTCTTTCTTTTGTAACAGTAAATAATAATTGCATCAGCTTTGAAGACTTCTGAAAATGTCAGCATGGTATTGTATGTAAAGAATTCAGAACAGGCTGGGCGTGGTGGCGCATGCCTGTAATCCCAGCACTCAGGAGGCTGAGGCAGGAGGGTCGCTGTGAGTTCAAGAACAGCCTGGGCTACCTAGTGAGTTCCAGGTCAGTCTAAACTACATAGTGAGACCCTGTCTCAAAAAACTAAAAATAAAAAAAGAACTCAGAACAGGGTTTGGTCCGAAGTAAGTGCCCCTAAAGTGTGTTGTTCCTGCTGTGACTTTGCTGCAGTTACTGCATTTACTGCTGTGGTTCTAACCCCCTCACCCCTCTTGGCCAGGGATGGGAGAATCCTCTTCTGTGCCCAAGGACAGCTTCCTGGGTTTGTAGCACACAGGACCCCACATTCAGAAGGCCCTCACATCTGGTTCGTTGCGCCACTGCCACTGACGCGCAATCCCGAGTCTTTGCTTGCTTGCTTGTTTTTCTGTTTGTTTGTTTTTGTTTGTTTGAGACACAGTGTATTTCTGTATTCCGAGCCAGCCTCGAACTCACTTCACAGTCCAGGCTGACCTCAGAGGTACAATCCTCCCCCCTCACCGTCGCCCCCCAAGTGTTGTCGTAGTCACTTTCGACAAGGATCTGGGGTACCGACGCTTCATACTTGGTCCCACGAATCTTACGGCCAGTCCCGTCTGTGCTCTCTGTGCTGTTTGTCCCTGCAGTATTGCTTCAGGCGGGCCCAGGCGGGCCATGCAATCCAGCAGATCCGACAGTGGGCTTTGCGGGCCTGCAACCCCATGCAGTGCATTCGCTTGTGTGGGTCCCTGCGGTAGCCACTCACCGTGGTGGGGGCTGAGCTCTTGAGTTGGGGCCGGTTCTACTTAAGATGCGCTGTGTGATCTCGAAGATTTAGTGTGCAAAGATTGTAATAAGTAATTTTATTATGTGTTGAGATTATTCTATTCTTAGAATCCCTAGTTAACTAGTTAACTAGAATAACTAGTGGGACACATTATTAAAATTGATTGGGACAGCTTTGGCTTTTCTAATGTAAAATTACCACATGGCTTTCCGCTGGGCAGCTGTGCCTTACACCAGAGTCCCTGTGGCTCCATCATGACCCCCAGCCAGCTTCTGGGTGACTCAGCTATTGTCCAGCCCCAGCGCTGTGGTGTGACCCGAGTTTCCCAAACAACCCACCAGGCACCTCTCTTGGTGCCACTTTCCCATGCTTTCCTTGCAGAACTGGGGCTTGAACCCAGAGCTTTCACGCTGGCTACAACCCAGCCCTTTTTAGAACGTTTTATCTGGAGACAGGGTCCTGCTAAGTTGTTCAGACGGGGCCTGAACTTTCAATCCTTGTGCATCAGCCTCCCAAAGTGCTGGGATCACAAGAGTGCACCACCACACCCGACTTCCTTTCCTCCTTAAGATGCCTGAGACTCGGGTTTATTTGTAAATGCAGAGCGTTTGTCGAGTGGATCAAAGATGCTTGCCAGGCAGCCCAGTGAATGAATGGAAAGTATACTGAAGTTGGAATCAGCGCCAATTTAGGATTTAAATTAAAAGTCCCCAACCACCTTTAAAGGTATGGGCCCCAGGCCTGTTACTTAACCTCTCTGGGCAGAGAAGCAGAGCAGCACTAGCTTTAGAGGCTCAAAGACCAGGCTTTGAAGGCCACCTCTTTCACTGACAAGCTGAATGACACAGGACAAGTCACTTCTCCTCTCTGAACTCCAGTCTCGTACACGCAGTAAGGCAGATGGTACTGACCATGTAAGACGTCTGTGAGGACAGAGCACAACGAAAGTGAGCGAATGCCCAGCCGTACCACTGGCACGTGGGGACCCTTAACCCCTCAGTTTGCAACAGGATCATTGATTTGTGGGGAAGCCCAACAGTGATACTGTTCGTGTATCGAGTGATATATAGCACACAGACCGATGTACAACGTACCTGTGGAAAAAGCATTTATGGGCGGATTTGTCTAAAACAGAACCCAGAGAGAAGTGGTATGAGGAACCAGGATGAGAACTGCCATACTAATCTGGTAGGCAAGACTCAGAGATAGCTCTTCAATTCTGATTTCCGCGGCTGCCAGAATGTAGGGCTAGAGTTCCGTGATGGACTCCAGCAAGTATTAACTGAGCACCTACTTTTGTCAGGCACCGTTCTAATGGTCCCTGGGATCATGGTCTGGAGTAATCAGTGCCCTCCAGGAATTTGCTTTTCTTCCCTTTCTTCCTTCCTTCCTTCCTTCCTTCTTTTTCAAGCTGTACTGAGCATTGAACCCAAGTCCTTTGTCCTGAGCTGTATCTTCCAGCTTTTTTATTTTTATTTTTTATTTTATTTCTTTATTTGGTTTTTTGGGTTTTGTTTTTGTTTGTTTGGGTTTTTTTTTTTTTTTTCGTGGTT